GTCAACTTCTTTCTCCTTTCTCTTTAGCAGTTCATTTTCTCTCTTCTCTTCCATCTCCGTTAGCTTCGACATTATGAATGCTCTGAATTCCTTATCAGACATTTCCATGATTTTCACCAAACCGCTTGTGGATGAAGAAGAGTTACTCTTTTCCCTTGGAGGAGAGGTATTTTCTTGTTTTCCCATATTTCTTGTGATCTGGCGGTGATTTCTTGTCATCTGATGGATGGTGTGTTTCTTTCAAATTCTTGAAGTTCAGTCTGAATGTTCAGGAGCAAGCAGACAGAGGTGATCTAGAATTTCTTTGCCATTCTGTTGTGATCACTAGTGCAGCAGATTCAGTAGACATTGAGGAATATTTTAACCCTAACAGTATTTGGATGTATAGCTACAGTGCTCTTAGATCCATCTAAAAACACCTTAAATGGATATTGGAGAGTGGAGAGACAAGAAAAAGGAAAATGAAAAAGAGAGAGAGAAACAACAAAAAGAGAAAAAAAAAGACCAAAAAAAAAAAAAAGAAAAAAATGAAATTACTGTTCTTCTTTTTTAAAAAAAATCACAAAATACCTAGATCACAGGAGCCATGAAGAATCTTCTTCTGAAGGCCTGGCCTCTCCTGCCTGGGTGGGAGGACCAGAGTGATAATTAACAAAATAAAAGGTGGAGCTGAGAGCAAGAGAAAAACTTGACCCTTGAAAAAAATGTAAAAAGGAAAAATTACAAAAAGAATGGGAAGACAGAAGCAGGGAGAGACACAGAAACAGAGATAGAAGGCCAGGAAGTGGGGGGCTCCCTACCATGCTACCTTATTTGCTGGAGGCTGAATTATCAGTAGAAAAACTTCATTTCTTGTGTCCCCTGAAATATGTAGATTGCAGGAACCAGGAGGAATCTTCTTCTGAAGGCCTGGCCTCTCCACGCTAGCTTGTTTGCTGGAGGCTGAATTATCAGTAGAAAATCTTCATTTTTCGTATGCCCTGAAATACCTAGATCACAGGAGCCATCTTCTTTTAAAATATAGATATTTAAACATATACATTTATATACACACACACACATATATATACACACACATTATTAATTCCACTTATATTAAGGTTGAAAAGAGTTAAAAAATATGGTGCATATTTTTGGGATACACCTAAATAGCCTTTAAACTATAATAAAATAAACTCTAAAGAAAAGCAAAGTAATAGATAACACAAAACTTTTTAGAAAAAACATTCAGAAAAGACACAGGAGGCTTAAAAAGATACCATAACCTTTTAATTCATAACTCAGATATTGGGTACATGTGTTTATTTTACAATTCAATAAAAAATATATTTGTTCTTTGTCCCCAGTTGGTTCCTGGCACAGACTTCCTAAAACCTCGGACATTTCTTGAATGACAGGTCTGTCTTTTGTAATTCATAATATATTCCTTTAGGTCATACCTAAGTTTATGCTAATGAGGTGACTCATGAACGGTGAGAAATTCTAGGTAGCTTCAGGATGAAGGCTCATGGGGCCAGCAGGTGGCGTGGAGGTGGCTGACTGCATGGTTCAAGTCCCAGATCCAACTACTTGAAAACGTAGTGTATGTGCCCCAAATCCCAAGAAGAAACTTGAGGAGACTGAACTGTGGTGTGGTCATCCCACCAGGCAGTTATCATCCTCACTTCTCTCTCAGACAAGTGCACATGCCTTATAGCAAAAAGCAAACACTCTTCACCAGAAAAATCACTAGGTATTTATATGGTTGGAACTTTAAGCCTACCTCCAGTTCACCCTGAAGGCCAGATGCAGTGGATGGAGCCTATAATACCAGTACTTGGGAGGGTGACGGGAGGATCATGAGTCCATGAACAACATAGTAAGACCCTCTGTGAAAGGGATAGATGTGTGGTGCAGGTCTGTAGTCCCAACTACTTAGGAGGGTGAGGCAAGAATGGTGAAACCCTGCCTAAAAATTAAATTAAAAAATGTAAAACACTGGTCCCAACTCAATATTGCCTTTCATATTGATTTTTTTTTTTTGGAGAGGTTTTTTTACGATAGAGCGCATGCGTTCGCCAGAGAGAGACACAGAGACAGAAAGTGAGAAATCACCCCCCCAGGGGGGATGGTCACACTGCAATCCCTTCTTCTCCATTCTCCTCTCGGGATCTTGGGCACGCACGCATACGTGCCCTGCATGAGTTGTAAGCCACAGGGTCTGGGATGCAAACCGCGTTTGACTACGTGGGAGTCCAGTGACATAGCCATTACGCTAATTGCTGGTTCCCTCATATTGATTTTTTAAAGTTTATTTCTTCAGTGAGGCCACTCCCAACAGGGTCTCAGGCCATGATCCACTCACAGACTCAGCCTGGATCCTGGGCATGTGCACCTACACCAGAAACCTTCCCAGGTGAGGCCAGTTCTGTTACTACTGAATCATCATCTGGCCCCTTAATAGTGCCTTTTAAAATGAAGCCTTCCTACTGATATACATATTATTATTATAACTCAAATCCCCCAAATTAGGATTTTATTTACAAATTTTCTCCTCTGTCAGAACATCCTCCAAGTCCAGCTATGGTGGTGCACAGGTAATCCCATTGCTTCAGAGGCTGGAAGCTGCATAGCAGGCCTGGGTTCAGTCCCCCAAAGAATCTCAACATACTGGCTGCATATATCTCTAATCCTAGCTAATAGAGAGGGTGGGGCAGAAGGATCACCACACAGCAAGATCCTGTTAAAAATACTTGCAGTGGCACAGATGGGAGGGCACCACTAAGAAATAGTGGAGACACACAGGAGGCACAGGTTCAAATGCTGGGTTAACCTGAACAAGTTGGGTACACCTACACACACCTGCAATCATGGCTGGTTGGAAGGCTAGGGGAAGAATTAGGGTATGGCCAGGCTCTGCCAAGGGTTCTTGTACTGTTCCTCATGAAAGAAAGAAACTTAAAAAAACCAACCAACCAAAGGAACGATCAAAAACCCAGTTGTATTTCTGTTCTTTCCAATGTCTCTCAAAAAAAGCAGTACTTCTCATTCTTTGCTGATAGGACTACATAACGGGCCAGTCTATGAAGGGTAAAGTCAATATTTCTTACATTTACAAAGAAATTCCTTCTTTGATTCAACAATTCTCTTTTGAGAATTTGACAATCAGTTCTGTTAAAGTAGGAAGACTGGAAGCAACAAGTGTCTGTCTATAAGGAATTGACTAAATACAGTACTGTATATTTACAAAATGGAATATATGACAGGGAAAAAATATGCTTCTTAAAATAAGTTCAATTAAATACCGACTAGAAGAAATATTCAGAAGATAGTGGGGAAGTGCAGAAAATATTAAAGAAAAGATGGAGTGAAATAGAACGTATATTCTCATTTCCTTACATCTTTTTTTTGGGCGGAGGGAGGTTATTGCTACAGGGCGTGTGTGCTCACGGGAAAGAGACAGACAGAAAACGAGAAATCACCCCCCAGGGGGGATGGTCATGCCGCAATCCCTTCTCCTCCATTCTCCTCTTGGGATCTTGGGCACGAACGCACATGCGCCTGCCATGAGTTTTAAGTCACTGGGTTCGGAACTCGAACTGTGAGCCACTACATGGGAGCCCAGCAACACAGCCATTATGCTAACTGCTGGAACATCCCTCATTTCTTTTTATCTTCATTAAGAGTGAAAGGATAAAGAAACTAACCACAGTTACTTGGAATACTACCAGGAATAGTACTGGATAGGGACTGTGGACAAAGTAAAACTTTTCAGAGCATTTCTTTTTATGCAGTCTGAGTCCTGTAAAAGATTTGCTAATCAAAAACATAGTTCAAAGGGCCCAGCAGGCCATATGGTGGCTAAGACTCTGGGTACTCCCACATACCCAATCATGGTTTGAGTCCCAGATCTGGTGGCTTGCCTTTTCACTTCCCTTTTCTCTCTATGGTCAAATTAAAATAAATGAATAGATATCATTAAATAGATAACTCTTTTTAAAAAGTCTAAAAAAATTCAGTGGAAAGAGCAAATTAAAAAAATCTGTGTAATCCAAAAAATTAAGGAAAAGAAATACTGACAAAGCTGTACAAAACCTCAGTTGAAATTTAAGTTTCTGTACCTAATTTTGTTTTCTATTTTTAAAATTGTAATATAAAGCAACAGATTTATCAGCCAAAAAAGGATGGTTTGCAACACAGGTTCACGTAATGGCTAACCTGAAGAGAGACACAGGACTACCATGATTACCAAATACAATAAGCTTCTCTAAGTAAACAAGGTAAAATGATATTAAAGTTCAAAACTGGGGGCAGGACGAGCAGTTAGCACAAGGTCTATGTCGCTGGACTCCTATGTAGTCGACTGCGGTTCTCGTCCTGGACCCGGTGGATTAAACTCACACCAGGCGCGTGTGCGTGCGTGCCCAAGATCCCGAGAGGAGAATGGAGAAGGGATTGCAGCGTGGCCATCCCCCCTGGGGAGTGATTTCGCGCTTTCTGTCTCTCTGTCTCTGATGAGTGCACATGCACTATAGCAAAAACCTCTCAAAAAAAAAAAAA